AATTTCCTTATAAATATATATATTCTATACTTCTTGAAAAACCGAGTAGTTTCTACTAGCGAAGGAATTATTGTCGGAACCGGACTTCAGAAAGGTGGATACGATTAGAGGGAAGACATTTGGATTCCTAAAGTGAGTAACCACAAGAAGTGATCGTTTCCAAACCGGGAATTGATTTCCTCATACATCGTCGGTTTTGAAGGAGTTCAAGAACAAAGGTAATTTTTATAAATTACATATCAAATCAAAATTAGTAAAAGTTACTAGATTTTAAATGATGCTTATTCGTAATATCGTTATACTTATATACGGAATAAGTATTTATAAGATAAATACTTATAAAAATTTTAAATTCCGCTGTAAACTATGTTCCGTACAGTATATCGAACCCAACAGTTATGAACCACTTCACATAATTAATTAAAAGTCAATATTTGGTGAGATTATTTAATAAAATCTGATTTTAAATAAATAATTACCAAATGTTGATTATTTTATGCTAAAAAGTTTAGTATAAATAGGTGCAAATTGTTTGCACATATTTTCTAAGTTTTGAAATTTCTCAAGAGTTGAAAAAGAGAGAAAAAGAAGAATTGTTTTTCAAGATAAAAATTTAAGAAAGAGTTCTTAAATAATAAAAGAAAAAAAATATCTCCCAATTAAAATCCTCTAATTAATATTCCTATATCAAAATCGATATTTTTCTACTAGCGAAGAAAGAGATTATCGGTGTTGGATTTCAAAATGTGGACTCGATTAGAAGGAAGACATTTGGATTCCTAAAGCGAGACGAGTTCAAACCGGAAATTGATTTCCACAAACAACGACGAGGAGGAGATAAAAAGGTAATTTTTGAAATTATCTCACAAATCAAAATTAATAAATGTTACTAGATTTTAAATGATGCTTATACGTTATATCGTTATACTTATGTACGGAATAAGTATTTATGAGATAAATACTTATAAAATTTTTAAAATTCCGCTGCTTATTTTGTTCCGTACAGTATATCGAACTCAACATATCACACACTCTAAGCTTTATTCATATACTTTTATCTATACAGTTTGAGCGAGTCCTGACTTGAGCGTCGGAGAGTTTTGCGCCGGGACCTCTTCCCAACATATTGCAGGTCAGTAGAGTCATGACCTAAGGACCCATGGACTAAAACAGTAAAGGGGAAAAGAGTTCTAGTAAGAATGAAAGAATCACTTGCTCAAGGACACTTGTCAAGATAGAGACAAGGGAAGTTAGGAAAGTAGGATCTGGTTGGATTTCTTTCCTAACAAGAACTCTCTTGAGCCCCAAGGTATCAGTGCCTACATAAGGGCACAAGTTCCCTTTCATCAATAATACACATTACGCTTTATTCATATACTTTTATCAATAAAGTTTGAGCGAGTTCAGACTTGAGCGTAAGAGAGTTTTCCATTAGGACCCCCTCCAGGTGTATTGTATGTCATCAGAGCTCCAAAAAAGAGGACACTATTCGAGATGTAACGTGTTCAAATACGTTTGTGACTTAAAGTGACGTAATAATTATGAATTATTAATTTGAATTTTTTGCACATAACTCCCTAATCACTAATCTTTATTCACGTTCAGTCCCCTACTTTTTTGTTTTTTCTTTGCACTCCCTATTCCAATTTGTTTGTTCAAGTCAACTACCTATAATATAATATTATTATTATTAAAGCATTAAAAAAATTGAAAAGGACGTTAAGGTCGTACCACTCTCCCACATCAACGTTTCATCTCTGGGAGAAAGGGCTTCTCTGTCGTCGGACTTGCCCAAAATTGGCACAATTAGTCGGATTTCCCTTTATTATCTTAAAAAAAAAACTCTATTATGCTGTTGTTGGAGCCGCAGTCACAAGGGAGTTTCATCGTGGTCTTTGTCATTTTACAGTCATCCTAGTACGGAACTCTCTTGACACAAATGAGGGGCTCTAAATCAAAATCTTCATCCAAAAAATCATTTTTCCCTCCCGTGAAGCCAACAAATAAGGTTAGTTTATTTTATCAGGATTTTTATTCAGAATGAAGCTTTTTTTTTTTGTAGAAATGGAATGTTTTTAAGAATAAGGATTCAGTTATATGTTTTGTGGAAATGAGCTAAGATTTTGATTTATATGTCAACAATTAAGGGCTTTTTACATGTGTTCTTTGAATTGAAAAGAAAATCTAAGTTTTTTTTTTTTTTTTTTTTTTTTTTTTTTTTTTTGTTTTTCAGAATTGGGGATTTTTACATTCATAAAAAATGGAATATTGGATTTAATGTACGCTTGACCTCCGACCGGCTGGAAATTGGCTCGTCTTCTCCTCCTCGTCGATAGGACGCCGCGTACCTGAAAAGAAACTCTCACACCAAAGGGATTTTCTTGTGAAGAGTC